CAATTTTTTTAGAAAGTCTTTTATGGAAATTGGAAAAAAAAAGATAGACGATGAATATTTTAATTCATTCTAATTTTCATTTATGTTTATCATTGAAACACACCAAGCACATTGTAGGCTTCCCGTCACAATCCTTGAACCATTATCATCCACAGTAGGGATTATCATATCTGATGTCCCATTTTTACGACCGTAAAATTGTGAAATATTCATAATTCTAATAAAAAACGGCAAAATTACTCGGAGAAAAAAATATTAATTATCATGATCATTGGATTATTAATATTTAAATCATAGTTTGCACCATCGATGGTGCACTCAAGAAAAAGCTGTCAATGGAGTCATTCTGTTATAAAACATAACGTAAAGCTACAAAATCAGCAGTATCCAAGACAGAGTTTACAATGTACGTATCTATTACATAATTAGGGAAGTCACTTACGCCTCGAAAATGTTAAGCTACTTACGTAGTATGGTTGAATATCTTCATAAGTAATCACCGACCTGCTCCTCCCATCATTATTAATATTATCTATATACGTGACTTACCTTATCTACATAAATATAATAGTACTGTATGTTGTATGTACATATAACTACTTCGCAGGATGTGGATGGATCTTCACCAAATTTGGTATGGAGGTTCATTAGGTCCATGGGGAGATACATACAAAGTTTCAGTTTTGCATTTTGCAGTTTTTATGGGCGATTTTGCGTTTTCTACCTCTACCTCCCCTCCTGTGGATGGATCTACACCGAATTTGGTATGGAGGTTTATTGGGTCAATGCGGAGATACACGCAAATTTGCGGTTTCACAATGTATGTTTTAAAGTTTGTATGTCGTTTTTGTGTTTTTTACAATTACATATAAGGGAAACAACCTTTCATGTCCTAAGATAACTTTCATTAATTATGAATTTACATAACTTCAAGTAAAATATTAAACTATACAACTCGCAGGAAGTCTCCGTATCCCCACCCCCCAAAAAAATACAACACAACATTCGAATGGCATGTAATTCACATGTATAATATTTAACTTTTCTTAAACAAATACAAGTATAATTTTGACAAAAAAAAACTACTTAGAATGAACTCTAAAAGTTTGGATGAAAAGCATTATTCTTATATGAAGCTGCTTTAATATAACGTTTTAAATTACTAAATATTCCATCACAAAGAAAACTACACTTAGTACTCGAAACCACAATTCTGTTTGTTTTACATCAAGGCCTCATTGAGCAACCTACTGTTTCCACCGCGGGGAATCGAACTCCGGATTTTAGCACTGTAAGTCAAACCGGGAGACGGAACCACAATGTTTTGCTGTCAACTAATCAAACACGTTGTTTTTATACATAGTTTAATAATGTTTTTTTAGAAATTCTCATAATATTTGTTGCTTATAATATTTGTTTTTATTCTGCATTTACTTTTATTCTTTTTTTATATAAAAAATAAACCCGTGCATGTTAACAGAAATTAGAAGAAAAAACAACGAACAAGAGATGTAAGACCAAAAAAGAACATTGTTTCTGTAGACAACAATGGGATTGAGGATGTTGATCAGCCAGACATTACTTCTCAAACTAGAGAGGCACCTAGGAGAACGCATACCTCCACCACTCAGCGTTGATTATATCCGGGCTCTCAAAAAAATACGAAAATATGCCCATATGTTCGTCGTTTACAATGGACACGGACCAGTTTTGTTAGGACAATGAGGAATAATATTTTACATGCGTCTACCAAGTTTCATCAAAATCCGATCATTTTTGACTGAGTTATAGGGCAATAATAGTGTGAAAAATCGGTCCCTATATTAACAGATAGGGATTTTGTTTGGATTTTCGTAATCTTGTTGTGACCTTGACCCTCTAAAACCTAATCACTTCTAAGTTGTATCATAGTCCAAATGTATACCAACTTTCGTCCAAATCCATTCAGCCGTTTTCGAGAAATCTTGCAAACACACACACACACACACACAGAGGGGTAAAAACATAAACTCTGTCCACCTTAGGTGGCGGAGGTAATAAGCAGGATTCATTTCCTACATCGTTCCATGAACTTCGTCACATCAGCTTGGTAAGATGCAGGTGTGGTGTTATGAATCCAATTGCGTACAGCCGCTTCAGAACAATTAAAAGGATAAAAAAAAAAAGATGGAATTTATGGGACGTTAGCCTATGACTATATTTTGAATGAAAAACCAAGATAAATATATTTTTGCTTTATGTATATGTATATACACAATACGAATGTTTAAAATATCAAATACGAAAGAAATTACAAACCTCACCTTTTTTCTTGGGTCCACTAACCGCTAAGTAAACAAACACTGTGCATAAACCTAGAAGAAAAAGTATAGCCAAAAGCAAGTATCTTTCCAGACGTGTTCTGCGACGAAGTACCGTGGGATCGTTTAACTGGACACTGATGGTGCCCATGTCCATTCGGAGAGCTTTTTCTGAATCATCTGGATTCATAGGATTCTCTGTGATGTTCAACTTCTGCTTCTCCCAGTTTGGGCGAGACATGGTGCCTGAAACAACCCCCGTCCCTTGCCGTTGTAACATCGGCGACAGGTCTACTGTTTTGCTGGGCGAAGTTCGCTTTACTGTTCGGCTAATATTTCCGTTCGCTAAAAGCTCGTCGTCGGATTGTGGTGGAGAAGGACGATTGGATGACTCCACACTTTGTTGTGGTGAACTGAAAGTCGGTGGAGGCATTTGTTTCCTATCTGTCTCTTTTATACCATAAACCTGTCTGTCTGTCTGCAAAACACGAAAAGTGTTATCACAATGAAATATCACAAAACAAAAATAAGAGGCTTGATCGGGAACTATATAAAGATTAATTCTCCATTTTAAACCTAAACATTTTAGTTTGTTTGTTTGTTTGTAGTTAAGCACAAAGCTACACAATGAGCTATCTGTGCTCTGCCCACCACGGGTATCGAAACCCGGATTCTAGCGTTGTGAGTTCGCAGACATACCGCTGTGCTACTGGGAGGAAACATTTTAGTAAATATATTTTAGCGTTTCCTTCCAAGTGCGACAAGCTCAATTCTCAGCACCTACCACTAAAATCATTAAATGTATCTACCTAGTCAACATAAGATAAATTTCTAATGAGTTCGAAAGTAAACCTGTTTTAATGAGTTCGAAACTAAACATTTTTTATCGTTAGAAAATAGTAGCAAAAAGTCGTTATTCACGCAGCTGAAGAACTGCATTTGAGAAATGGGACTTTTCGTTTTTACTGTAGAAAGAGAACATAATTTTTATGTTAATTCTATGTTCTACATAGTTTCCCTCTTTACTTTTAAATTACAATATGACTGTCTCTTACTTTCTTTACATCGTGTAATAACATCATTCGATTTTCTGCTATATATATGAAAAGTTATACTGAACTAACAATATCAAACGAGACATGCAAAATCCTGGATATTGATGGCACATATAATCCACTGCATATAATTAAACCTTCAAGCGATTTTAAAGGTTGGAAGTGATATAGAATCTTTAACACGAAATGACAACAGTGCATAATTACATCTAGCTGTAGGTGTCACTCTGACAGATTTATCAGCAAACTCCCTCTATACCCTTTATCTCACTCTCTGTTTGTCAAAGAAAATCGATGTTTCACTTGTTATCAGCGAAGTTGAGTGATTAAAGACGTTTGACAAACACTTCCCAGACGTGACGCAGTGAATCAAGTTATGTAGGAAGGTTATGAAAGAACATCGAATATATATACCCACAAAAACATATACGTATATATGTATATCTGCAATTATAAATACATATATATTATTATTATTATTGCTAATATTGTCAGTTTTCGACTGTGAGCTTCGAGTTTAGGAAGTATTGTTGGAGAACACGAGTAACGGGTCTTATCTTATGGGCTTTTGCGGTTTCTTAGAAACTCCTGATCATAAAAAAAAACGAACTGCTAATTGGTGTTTTTATGGAAACTGATGTTTCTTTCTTTCTATTGCTTTTATGTAAAATAATATTTTGAGTTCGAAACAAAATTTTGTACTCAAACTAATTTTTCTTTCACGATGCTGCTGCTGGTCATAAATATATTTTAGAATTCAAGTAACGTGGAGTTAAAACTTGAAATAATTTATAGCTACGAAAAGAATTGTTTATGTTTGTTTTGAATTTCGCGCAAAGCTACACGAGGG